GGCTCAAAGGAGGGGCCCCCTCCTGTCTCCAGGATGGAGGAGGGAGTGCGGCGAGAGGTCCCGTAACTGGGTTGGAATTCACTGCCTCAGCCCAGAGTGACAGGAGCTTAGAATCAAAGGGAAGCGCTCCCAAGCAGCCACCCAGAGAGCCGGCCAGGCGCGGAGACAGGGCTCCTAACCCCTGTTTATACACAAGGATCAGAATAAACCCCAGCAAAGATGCAGTTGCACTTCGTTAACTGTCAAGTGCCAGCAAATGAGACGTGTGTTCTGGACCCGTCCGTCCAGGGTCCCAAGGGCCCCCGCCCCGGGAGGGGGGTCGGGGGGGGACGTTCCCTCTCCTGCCCCCAGACAACCCCGTCTGCCCATCTAGGACACCCACCCGCCCCCCGGCTCCCACCGGCCCAGGACCCAGACTGACAAATGACTCAAGACACACAAACACCTCGGGCTGGGTCAGACTCAGGGCGCGTGGGGGGCCAGCAGGGGCTCCCTCCTGGGCCCGCCCCCTGTACCCCGGTGCCTCAGCCGTCCATTCCCCTTGCCTGAGATGGAGCCGTGCAGCCCAGCCTGCAGTTGAGCACTTGCTGTATACCAGACCCTTGCATGAGCACGTGCTGCATACCAGACCCTTCCAGGACACGAATTTTCCATCCTTTTCATTTAAAGACAGAGAATGAGGAGAGCGCCTCTTTGCTGGCTCCCTCCCACCCCCAAATGGCTACAACAGCTGAGGCTGGGCCAGGTTGAAGCCAGAAGCTGGGGAGCTCCATCTGGGACTCCCAGGTGGGTGGCAGGGACCCAAGTACTTGAGCCACCACCTGCTGCCTCCCAGGGTGCGCATCAGCAGGGAGCTGGAATCCAGAGCAGAGCCAGGACTCGAACCCAGGCTCTCCCGGATGGGATGCTGGCGTCCCAAGCAGCGGCTTAGCTGTAGAGACAAATATCCACCCGATGTCCCCCCAGGGGATGTAGCTTGCTGGGGCTAATTATCATTGATGTCACGGTCATGACCTCTGACATGCCATGACCTCTGACATGCCCTGACCACTCCCCACCCCCCCACCCCCAGCCTGCACCTGTGCACACTCCCAGCCCCGCCCCCACCCAATGCCCACCTCTGCTCTGCTCCTGGCTGACCCTGGGCCAGGCAGCGAGACCCAGCGCAGGACACTGTGGCTTCCCACCCCTTTACCTGCACGGGGGTCGGCCACCTGTGCCCACACAGGCCCGTCCTCACCTGATCCGCCGCCGTCTGCTCAAGGGACGCCCAGCTACGTGTAGTGCCGAGGGCCAAGCGGCCGGAGGCCCTGGTCCACTTCCGGCTGAACTGCTGGCTCTGGGCTGGTGCCACCAGGGTAACCGAGGTCGGTGGCCGCCCTCTCTGGCTCGGTCACCAGCACAAGGGCCAGGCCTCTCCCGTGGGACTTTCCCTCCCGCCCCTGAAGATGTCCCTCCTGCTCCGCCCTTCGCGAGTGGACTCCAGCCGGTCCCACCTTGAGCCTACTGGAGGGAGCAGGATCTGCCCGGGGGTGTCCCCACGGTCCTTCCTCACTCATTTTAAACTGAGTCATCCTCCTCCTCCCCGGTGCCCTGGGGTGCTGCCCCCTATAAGAGCCATGGGCCATGTCCCTCCCAAGCCCTCGGAGTGGCCAGTGCAGCCCGTGCCCACACTGACGGCAGGCTGCAATACTGCTTAGACAGATTGCGTTACTCTGACATGACTTCGATTCATTTTACTTACGTGCCCTCTTACGTGGCTACGAGAGATTTTAAAAGCAGTGGCCGGCAAGGGTCTGGCCTCAATGCCCGCAGCTGGGGCAGATGGATGGGGGGAGGGGAGGGGAGGCACGCATGGGGGTCCCTCCCTGTGCCCTGGATCCACCTTTCCCAAGCCTCAGTTCGGTCCATATGAGAAATTCACGCTCTCCTATCCGTGTGCCCTGGATCCTATTTTCTTCGGGGTTGACCCTCGCTCACACTAAGGTGTGAATGATTGCCGGCTGCCCGGCACCATCCAGGCATGACAGCGGTCTCCAATCTGGCTGACGCCGACTCTTCCCCGGCCGGCCCTGCAGCCCATCCATCCCTCTAATCGGTCCAAGGCCCCATGTGGCAGCATCTCCTGCACTAGGTGCATGATGGGAACAGGTGCAGACAAGGAAGGAACCAGAAACCACACCCCAGGGGCGTTCATCAGACCAGCAGCCTCTGTCCCAACCCCGGGAAGAAGGCACTTCCGTGCTAGGTGCCCCCACGTTCCCAGATGACGGGGAAGGCCCTCAAACTGTTTCTGGGATAGCCCAGCTCCACCAAAGCGGGGGTCCACACTCGGGAGGCACGGGGAGTTTGCAGGGACAAGGACGCTGGGGCACAGGGGGAGCTGGGCCTGGCCAGCCTCACCAGCGAGGTCCAGGACAGGGCTGGGTGGGCGCCGGGGAGCCACAGGAAGGGGGCCATCCCGGAGGAGGAGGCAGCTGGGTGACACAAGGCCTCGGAGGTTGTACTTCGAAGGGCCTTTCTCCCTATGACATTGAGGGCTACTGAGCAAGCTGCGGGATGCACAAAACAATGAATGAATGAGTGAGTGAATGAATGAGTGAGTGAGCAAGCAGAGGTTGCGGCACGACGCAGCCTCACATCCTGGGCTGCACGCACTGGGCTCTGGGGCACACGAGAAACCACGACATGTTTTGTTCCGAGTCGAGGACCTTTGTGTGAGGGGGTGCCCAGAGCCTCATCCGAGACAAGAGAGCGAGGCTGGTGCCATGGGTACGAGTGCGGGGGAGAGACGGGGGTGGGGGCCGGGCTGGGAGGGGCCCTGGCTCTGGAGGGGAGAGGTCTGGCCCTGCAGCCTCAAGACTTTCCCCGCAAGTGCCCCCAGCATCAGCACCATGCCTGGATCCCCCACAGCAGAGCCCTCTCCCGCTGGCTCCAGCCTCCCTCCTGGTCCTGGAATTAATAAAGCCCAAGCAGACTGCGGTTTGCGAGTCTGAGAGCCGGTTCCTGCGCACGTCACTGCCCCAAGAAGAGTGGGGCCCAGCTGCCCCCCACACCTTCTCCCTCCCCACTTCCTCGGGGCGGGGGGGGAGTGTAGGCACACAGATGCTTCTCTCTCCTCCCCTCCTGTGCCCTGCTCCAACAGGAACATCCCAGGTTCAAGCCTCAGACCCTGGCCCTGAGCACTGACCTAGGGTCCTTTAGCCCCTCCAAAGTTCCATCAGCCACCCCCTCCCAAAGCACCCTGCAAATAAACCCACACTTGCTGCTCAAGCACAGCTTCAAAGAGCCACCCCTAGCCTATTCCGCCACCGAGCGAAAAGCCGCGGCCGCCGCTGTCAGAGTCCCGGGGGTGGGGGGAAGGGAGGGACCGTGCAGGGTCCCAGGGTGAGCCCCTGCAGAGCCGGCTGACCTCTTCTCTGGGAGTGGGAGCGGGGCTCGCAATGGCGGTGTCGGCCCCGGGGACCGGACAGGTGCAGAGCGAGGCCGACGCATTTTATTTATCTCTGCCAGCAGCCTCCCAGGTAGGGAAGGTAACACCCTTTGAGAGTCCGCAAATGGACAAGTGGCCCTTCTAGAAGATTCTAGAGACAGAATCGAGCTCTGGGTCAATGGCCTGCCATCGACCGCTCCACCCCCGGCCAGCCCCAGAGCTCCTGGTGTGTGTGTGTTGGGGGGGACATCGCACTCACCCCTCTGAGCCCACGGCTTCCATGGTCTTAACTGACCTCTCACTGGCCCAGCTTCTCTCCCGGCTCCCCTATTTCTGCCCCACTTGCAGAGGTGAGGAGAAACGGGACTCCCCAGCTCCACACCCCCCACATCTCCCCAAGCCCCTAGGGTCCCCATCTTGTCCCAGCTGCTCCTAGTGTGGCACCCAGGCTGAGAGTTCAGCTGGATCGCCATCTGGGCTGTCTCAGTGCAGGTCGCCCCCTCCTGGCCACTGGGGGAATGGCAGTCCCCCAGGCATTCCCAGGGAGAACAAGACATGTAGGGGCTCCCAGGCCTGGTCTGGGGCTCAGCCTTGCTGGAGACAGGTGGTGGCCAAGGGGCGAGGCGGGGCTGCCTGTCTGTCTGCACAGGGCTCCCACGTCCCTGGACTCACGGGTGTCTTGGGCTGCAGCCTGTGTGGCGCTGGCAACAGGGCCGACTTGGACTGTGCAGCTGAGCGTGTCAGGGTCCCCAGGTGCCCCAGGGGACAGCGTCAACACGGCCTGCACTCCCAGGTTTCTCCCCTGCCTGAAGCCCCTGGCCTGGGTGGACAATAGCCCCAACCTTCCCCCACCAGCACATCCCGTACCCTCCCCCGACTTCAGGCAGGAACTCAGGCAGGACTTCATTTCATGCAGAATGGAGCCCCGGAGTGGGCCAGGGTCCCCCGGACCACCCTCCAGCTGCCCCCATCTCACCTTCCAGAACATTCTGCCCACAGCCCCTTTGACCTCCGCAGACCTTGGCACCGGACCCCTAGGCCTTGTCCGGTGCCGCCTCCTCCACCCCCACCCCCCACCCCACCCCAGCTCTGGGCAGGGCCCGTCTCTGGCCAGGCCTGGGGGTGCTGGGGAGTCTGGAGGCCTGGGGTGGGGGCCGAGGCGCGGGACAGCTGGCCTGTGTCCCCACGCTGGGCCCGGGGCCCAGCCGGAGGGGCGGGGGCCTGGCCACTCAGGCCTTGGCTGGGGCCGGGATTTTTTGGCCGGGCTGCCTGGCCCTCCCTCCTGCTTCCTCTCTCCCCGAGGGTTGTCCTGGCAGAGGCCCCCTCACACTTTCTGGCGGGAACAGAGCCAGCCTCTAGAACAGGCACAGGGGAAGGAGATGGGGAAAGAGTGTGCGTGTGTGCGTGTGCGTGTGTGTGTGTGTATGTGTGTGTAGGGAAAAAGCCCTCAGCCCAGCCCAGGCAGGCCCAGCCCGGGAGGCTCGAGCCCGGCCCTTTCGTAACTGCCCCCTCCCCTGGCCCCCTCCCCCAGCCTCCCCCTCCTCCCGCCCCCCCCCCCCCGCCGCCCCCGGAGGCGAACAAGGGGGAGTTACGCTTTGGGGATAAAACGAGGCGTGGAGAGCAGGCTGGGGCATTTCTCCCAGAGATGGCGGGTGTGACGGCAGCGGCGGCCCCACGGCCCGGACTCCTGCTGCTCCTGCTGTCGCTTCTGCACCCCTCGCAGCCTGGAGGTAAGGGCCCCCCGCGTCCCCAGCCCCCTCGGCACCGCCGCTCCGCTGCGCGCCGCCCCCTGCCTGTCCCTGCCCCGGTGTCTGTCCTCGCGAGCCCGCGGCTCCCTTAGCCAGGTGGCTGGACTGACGGAGCCAGTCTCTTGGCCCCTGGGGCTTCCAGGAGCCCCTCGGCCACCGGGTCCCCAGCGTTGCCCCTTGTACTGCAGAAGAACCTGTCAAGCAGAGACCCCCACAACCCAGGCTGGTCCCAACCGAGCGTCCAGGCTGTGCCACTCCGCTCTGGCCAAAACCCCCTCCCCATGGAGGGAGGGACCAGGACCCGCTGGGAAGAGCTTGGCGGGACCCCCCTCGCTCTGCAGGCACCAGCCGTTTGCACACCTGTGGACCCTGGGGACAAGGGACGTGGCTTTGAGACCACTCAGCCGCCCGCTGGGAGCTGTGTGACCTCAGCAGGTCCCTTGTCCCCCGGGAGGTCGGGCAGGATGACGTTGGTGATGGGATGCTGTGACCCCTGCATGCATGCATGCGAGCGAGTGTGCGGATGAGTGTGCCGCGTGCTGTCGCACAGGTATACATGTGCTCACACGTGTCACGGAGCAGTGAGGCAGGGTAGGGGCTCCTGGGAAGCTCTGCCTGTCACTCCTGAGCAGGTAGCCATGGTGGGGGCAGGGGGGGAGTCACACACACGTGGAAGGGCTGGTTCCAGGGCTGTCGCTGCACCTGTGAGTGTGCGCCTGTGAGATGGGCGCTCCCAGGGGCGGCGGGCAGCCGGGAAAGGGGTCCGCCTCCTGGCAGATGGAGTGCAGCCAGTGGCAGGGGCTGCTGTGGGCCCCAGGGCACGGCTGGGCCATCTCGATGGGTCCTGACCCAGTGCCTCCAGGGGGCTACCGGCAGGGACCAGGTGAATCTGGCCGTGGGGAGAGAGAGCAGAGGGCGGCCTGGGTGGAGGCCCGTTCAGCAGACCTGGAGTCGGGGGGCTCTGGGGCTGCAGGGCGGAGCAGGGTGCGTCCCGTCCCCGGGCCCGGAGCCAGACGGCGGGCCGGGAGCAGCAGCTGCTTCTGTGACATTGTCCAGCCGGCTCGGCTGCTGGGAGCTGGAGCTTCCTTGTGCGGGGTCCACTCCTGGACCTGGATGGGGGGGGGCTGAGGGTTGCAGGCCAGTGCCCTCCCCCATGTCCAGGACAACCCCCAAACACCTGCTTGCCCCTGTCCCCAGACACTGCTGCCGCTGTGAGCTAGCAGCAAAGGGTCACAGGGACCCGAGACTTGGGAATTAGCATCTGCGCTTTCCAAGTGAGGAGACGGAGGCAGGCTGGGGGGAGCATCCATCAGCCCCATCTGCCGCGGCTAAACGGACATGGGCATTGGGGAGCCGGGTACGACACGCAGGGAAGGGCCGCCTCAAACCTGCGTCATTCTCCGTGAAGATAAACCTCAGCTCCACCCCATGGGGCTGGATAAACTGGGCTTTAAATACGGGGCCAATGATTGGACGAGGGGGGGTCTGTGTACTGGGACTACCAATGTCCCATGAGGTCAAGGATGTTGGAGGGACCCTAATCACACACTCCCAGCCACCACCACCACCCCCGCCCTAGCTGTCCTGGGGTCGGGGGAGTCCATACCTGGGGAAATCCGAGTAATTCTGACCCTGGCCATGTTCCCACCCCAAACCCTCACCCCGCAGAATTCCTGTTTGATTTGCGCTGGGGGGAGGGGACCCGGCATGGCTGCCCCGGTGATGGATGACCCGCCAGTGCCGACAAGCGCTGCTTTAGGGTTTGAACACCCTCCCCCTCCCTCCCCCACACCCCGGGCATCTGGCAGGAAAGCAAAAATGCCACCCGACGTCGCTGGACGCACTGCTTTTGAAAAGTCTTTGGCAGGCTGTTCTCCATGCAAGAAACACACAGCTTATCTTGCCAAACTGGCCCCCTGGACACTGGCTGGGCAGAGCCGCTGCTGCTATGGCCCACTGGCCCGCAGCGCCATCCCAAACATGCTTCTCCCAGGTCTTTGAAGTGGGAGCCCAGGGCCCCCAGGCAGAGAGAGGGACCTGCCTGTGACTGGGCTGAGCCGCAGGTCCCGAGCCAGGCGCTTCATCTCTCTGGCTGCAAACCTGAGCACCTCCAGGGGCCGGCGGAAGGTTCCAGCAATGTCACGCCTGCCAAAAATGCATCAAATCAGAGGACCGTGGGAATGCTCTTTAAAAAAAAAAAATTCTCTTATTCAGAATTTGTAACTCGGACGGCTGGATCCCGGGGAACTAGTAGTAGACATCTCCAAAGTTGAATTCTCCCTGGGGTTATTCACTCTGTGTTTTGTCTGTTGGCTGGGGTGGCTGTAAATATGTGTGATAAAGGAAGCCAACAGGAAAGGAGACGGGGTGGCCGGAAGGCGCCCCCCCCCCGCCCCAGGAAACCCAGGAGGGCTTCCTGGTGGAAGTGACCTTTACGTTAGACCTTGAAACATAGGTCGATGTTCGGGGGTGTCGGTGGATGAGAGGAGGGGCTGGGGCAGAGAGAAGCAGACAAACGGAGAGGCAGATTCCACCTCCACGGGAGGAAGCGCTCTCTGAAGACAGAGCTGACAGCATTGCCAGGTACTGAGTTCCCCGTCGCGACAGGTCTGCAAGCAGAAGCATGAGAGAGGCGTGCGGAAGATTGTTGGGGGAGTGGAGGATTGTGGCTGTGAGAGGCAAGAGACAAGTCCCACCCCTGGACTGGTGGCGGAACGAGCCAAACCCACATAAAACAAGACAAGCGCGTTCCAGGCCGGCCGCTCCCGGCCAGCGAACGGCACAGGGAGCTCAGAGGAAGCAGCAGGGAGATTGGGGCTGAGCTGAGGCGCACAGGCGGGACTGCGGGAGCAGCGGGGGGCATTCCCACTCACGCCAGGGGTCCAGGGTGGCTGGAGGGGGGAGGGGCTTGGACAGCTCCTGCCGGGTGGGGCTCTCCTGGCCTGGAACGCACAGACGGGGTCCTGTGCAGTCACTCAGCTTCGAAACAGGCACGCAAAGCTCCCATTTCCAGGGCTGTCACGGCGCGGGCGTGGAGCTGGCGGGCACTGTCGGGATCTGACTCACTGAGCTGGGAGAAGAGAAGTCTTTCTCTGGAGGGGGGCTGGCCGCAGCCGGGGTCCAGGCGGGCAGAGCCCCAGGCTGGAGGGCTTGACAAACCCAAAGCGGGCAGAGCCCTAGGGCAGGTGGGGATGGGATGGAACAGGCCAGACCTGGGTTCACAGGCAACCTGCCTGCCGCCCACTATCAGCACCATTTATTGAGCACCTACTGTATACTTGGCCCTGGGCCATGTACTGTGCAATGATGTAAGAACAAATAGAAACCATGCACATGCCAGGGGCAGGAGGGGACACAACCTGATGTTCAGCCTCACTCTGGAGAAAAAAAAAAAAATTCAGGTTCAGAGAGGCTAAGTGACTGGCCCAAGGTCACACAGGTGGTAAAAGGTGGCAGAGCCAGGAATAGAAGTCCGAGGGCTCTGGCCCGAGCCCCCTGCTCTCGCCACCTGCCAAGGCAGGCCACATGTGAACTTGGCAGCACACACCTCAGTCCCTGGGGGATGGGAGGGGGGCTGGGCCCTGGGAGGCGGTGGCCATGACAGCCTGGTGATAGCCCAGCCCTGTGTGTAACATCGCTGGCCATCTGGCTGCATGGGCCCCCCACTGGGCGCCCTGCATGGCTGCCCGACTTCAGGCTCCAACCCCACCCTGCGCGCGCCTGCCAGCCCCTCTGTGGGGCAAGGTCAAGGTCAGGAGCCTTCTGGGATGGATCTAGGCCTTGTCTGTTGCCATGACAGCGGCGCAGGCCTGGCTGGGTGTGGGGCCAGCATCTCCGCAGGGACAGCTTCACTGATGCGTGGATCTGAACTCGTGACCTTGGCCAGGATGTTCGCCTGCCCTGGCCAGTGAGTTAGGAAATAAACTATGCACTTCGCTCATTCACGGTGTCCCCCCTCTGGGGCCCCGGCGCCTCCCAAGACAGCCGGGTGTCAGACGGCCAGCGCCCCGCCCAGGCTCGGCTGCCCGGCGGCGGCCAAGGGCACTGAGCTCACGCACAGCTCCTCAGAGTGTGGGAACGGCGGCCCTGTTGGCAGCACCTGCCATGTCCTGGCCACTCATGCTTGCGACCCGGCCTGCCCTCCCGCCACGCTGACCCCTGCCCCTGCTGTTCGCTGTCCAGTGCTCATACCCAGCCCTGAGCAGGAGCCCTCTCCCCGGCTGAAGACACCCCTCCCCCACCACCACCATCAGACTCAGGACTGGCCTGGATTCGAACCCAGGTTCCAGCTTGCTGCAGCTGTGTGCCCCCCTCCACCCCTGCCTCCAAATCCTCTCAGCCTGATTCCCCCCGGGGGACAGCACCAGCAGAGTGAACCCTGCTCCTCCTGCCTTGTTGGGTCCTTGGGAGAAAATACTTGGTGAGCAGCCACTACGGCTTGTTGGAGCCCCGTCCGGGCTGTAGCTAACAGAGGATTCCTTCTGCTTGTTCCCAGGGGTCCCGGGGGCTGTGCCTGGTGGGGTTCTGGGAGGAGTTCCCGGAGGAGTTCCTGGAGGGGTCTTTTATCCAGGTAAGGCAGACCGGGGCCCGTGGTCCTGATGACACATTCTAACCCTGCAAAGATGCGGGACGCTCATGCACCCAGCCAAGCCCCCTCGAAAACACCTTCCACGTCACGTGACACTCCTGGGCGGCGTGTTTTCTGGAAGATGAGACATAGCACCCGAGAGGCTGTTGGGAGGCGGGCACGGTCTTGGCACTGTCAGTTGCACTTGAAGCAAATTCTGGAGAGAGAGAGAGAGAGAGAGAGAGAGAGAGAGAGAGAGAGAGAGAGAACACATGTACAGACGGAGGTTCGCAGAGTTAGGACCCCCTGGAAGGCATGGAGCTGAGGTTCCTGATAATGGGATGTGGATGGAGGGGCAGGTTTGCTGCCAACGATACTGATTTCTCTCTCTCCTCCTCCTTCTCCTCTCGTTCTTTCTTGCCATCTCTCAACACAGGAGCTGGTCTCGGAGGCCTGGGAGGAGGAGGTGAGCTCAACATCCCAACTTGAAGGGGTCTGGGTGTGCTCCCAGCCCGCACACATCCGCAGACCTGAGACCCCCAGAGGCCCAAGCCTCCAGCAGTGGGGTGGGGGGGTGTCCTGCATTTCACACACCGAGCGTGCCCTGGGGGGAGTTGTCTGAGCCCCAGCACCTGTGTGCCAAGCCAGCGTGTGTCCCTGTCCTGCTTTGAGACTGAGAACCTGGAGCTGGCTGGGCTAGGGCCAACCACAGTCCGTGTCTGGGGCGCAGGCCCCCGCCTTGCAGCCCTGGGACCTAAGATCTACAGCCCCTTGCAAGGGGGGAGGGGGCAGGGTAGCTACGTGGGAAGACCGGGGAGCTGCAGCTCCGTGTTCACCACCATCTCTTACCTCTGCAGCGCTGGGGCCTGGAGGCAAACCACCCAAGCCAGGTAAGACCCTGCCGGGAGAGAGCCAGCCAGGTAAGGCCTGGCCAGGTAAGACCTGAGGCCTCGGAGCACTGAGAGAGGCCGACAGAGCAGAAGGTGTGGGCCCAGCCAGGGACCCAGCTGGCAGGAGCAAGGAAGGGAGGTGTGGGCAGAGACAGCCCCAGGTATCAGCAGGTGGCAGCCAGGGACACCGGCTGGAGGTGGCTGGGTTCATCTTGCTGTGGGGAACATCTGAGCACTGTCCCAGGGCCCCCAGGTGCACCTGCTGCTGCTTCGTCCTGGGCCTCAGACAGAGATGGGGAGTGAGGGTCTCATGGTCTCCGTGCCTCTCTAATGATACTTAGGGGCTCAGAGGGAGATGGCAGTCCCCAGACTCCACCCGGATCATCCCCTGACCCTTGGCCCCAGCCCAAGCCCAAGCCCTGTCTAACCCCAGGCCAAGACCCCAGGCAGCCTTGACCTTGATGTCAATCCAAGCTGTTTTATTTCAGCCCTGGTTTCAGGCTGAACCCCGACCTCAGCCAAGCCCCAAGTCCAGGCTGAGCGCTGACCCTGGCCCCAATCCCCTTCCAGCTGTGTCCAGTCCATGGTGTTTTCCAGTAAGAAGGTGTGGCTGGAGCTAGCCTGGCCTCGCCCACGGTGCTGGGATCTGCCACCAGGGACCCCGCTAAGCTGCAGGGGGCATACCCCGGGAAGGAGAGGGAAGCCCTGGTGGCCAAGGAGCAGGTGGCGTCTCTGGCCAGACACACGGCCCCCTCTCTACGTGAGCTGTAGCCCGTGTGGGCTCGGCGCCCCCACCCCACGCTGTGCGCCCTGGCTCCGAAGCCCCAGGCTCTGGGACATAGTTTGCATGTCCAACAGCTCTTACGAAATCCTGATGGCCGATGATCCAAGCGCAAATGAATCTGAGAGACCCAGATTCTCCGGCCCGATGAGAGCCCATCTGGGTTGTGAAACCCCAGGGCTGGGGCCGCGGGGGAGGCTGAGAGCTGGGTCCCCGGGCCAGGGTCTGCAAGGCTGGGAGTCCTTGGGGCGCACTGCTCTTGCTGCTGGAACCAGCACCCTGGCTTCCTACAGAGTGCGGGCTCCCAGCGGAGCCTCTGATGGTGAGGGGCGGGGAGTGGAGGGGACACAGGGAAGGGCTTGGTGGGCAGAGCTGTGGCTGGACGCCTGGGCAAAGCCTCAAAGATCCCGACTGTGGAGGTCATGGCTGCACAGCTGGAGGGCTCACAGATTGGTCCCAGTCGCACTGGGGGACCCAGGGCTGGTTGTGCTTAAACATCAGAGGGAGAACGGATTCCACTGAGATGGTTGCTAGCATCAAGTTTTTCTTAATGGAAGATCTAAGTTAGACTTCGGGAAGAACTTCCAGCTCAGAGTGAAGAAGGACTAAAGGCAGGGCATTTTCTGATGAAGAGGGTGCTGTCCCCAGGCAGGGGGCTGGCTTCCATGACCTTGCTGAGATCATCTTTCAGCCTGAGGGCCCCCCCACAAAGCCCCCTCATCCGGGCTGGGGGCTGGGGGGAGGTTATCCGGGCCTGCCCAGGCAGGATGGAATGGGGCACAGGCAGTGAGTGTCATGCTTGGGAACAATTAATCCCTCGGCGATAGAGGGTGGGTGGCCTGGCAGCTGCTGTTCCCCATGGGCGCCTCGGGCTGGCCCCGCCCTGCCTTGGCTCTCAGCAGGGGGCCAGGCAGCTGGGCGCCTGCACTACCCACACCCCTGTGCCAGCTGGAGGCAGCCGCCCACCGAGAGGGGTGCGGGCAAGGGCGGGAAGCAGCCGGCGGGCACCCACTGTGCGCCCTGGCCTGTTGCACGTAGTGGGTGCTTTCTGCTCACAAGCTCGCTGGTTCCCAAGAAGGGAGGGGACACAAGGCGGCCACGTGACCGGCTCGGGCCCATGGAGAGTGGCTAAGGGCTGTGGGGGATCTGAACCCAGAGCTCTGGGTCCCGGCAGGTAAGATCAGCTCCTCCCCTTTCCCTTCCTTTCCAGGTGCTGCGATTCCAGGGGCCTTTGGGGCAGGTGAGTCGGAAGGAGGTGGGCCAGGCGCAGGTGGAGCTGGTCACCCCCTGGGATGGTGGCAAAGGGGCAGAGGACCTCTGAGGGGCTGCCTCCTCCTCCCCAACCCTGCAAGGCCTGGTCTGGCCCGCATCCCTGTCCCAGCCTCCTCTCTCCTCCTGTTCAGCCCACGCCCTCTCTCCCCTGTCTCCCTGTGGACAGGAAAGACCTGAGTGAGTCCCCTGCCATTTGGGAGCTGGGCAAAGAGGCCTGGCTCTGAGAAGCCATAACAGGGCCAGGAAGGGCCAGGGCAGCGGTGCTGGGGAGAACAGGACCCTCCCGGGGTCCTGCCTGCAGCAGCGCATCTGGGGTTAGAGACCCCTCTTACAGAGGGGCTGGCTGAGATTCCCAGAGCCCAGGCCGCACAGGTAGGAAATGAGTAGGAGGGGACCCTACCCGCCCACGGGAAGCCAGGTGGCCCCTGCGGGGAGTGCCCAGCAGGCCCCGTGTTCCAGGCCAGTCCCCCAGAGAGAGAGAGAGCACCTGCAGCTGGGGCTCAGCACCCTGGCATTTGCAGGAGAGATTCACACTAACAAACCTGGCGTGGATGCAAACTCCAACCTGATGGCCCAGCACTCCGGGCCCGGGCTTTCCCAGAGGGAAAGAGGCTGTGATCGGGCCCAGATGTGGCAAGGAGGGAGCCAGAGGCACCCGTGTGTCTACTCATCCTTGAAGCAAGGACTTTAGGGCAGGCTGCACGGAAGGGCAGACAGACGGTGGGGGCCAGACAGGGCTCCCGGATATAGGTGCAGGGGAGGGGGCGGAGTCTGGGTGCACCTGCCTGGAGGTAGCAGGAGGGAGCAGAGCTGGCCTGGGAAACACAGGCCTGGCCCAGGCTGGTTAGGGAGCTACACGCAGTAGCTACTCAGGAAGCCGGGGCTACTCTTCTGTTCATCATGGTCTGAGCAGCCAAGGCTTAGGGGCACACTCGGGCCCCTGGTGGCCGAGCTATCAGGTTCCTGCCCCCACTCCATGAGTCCCTCCTCACCCTGGGCCCAGAGAGCAGGTGCACACCAGCTTCTCCTTACCTGTGTTTGTGTCTTCCCGCAGGCCCTGGAGGACTCGGGGGGGTTGGCCCCGGCGCAGGTTAGTACTGGCATCGGCACTGAGGCAAGGCATCCCTCCGGGAGGCAGCCCCCAAGGCCAGCTCAGAGCGGCTGCCCAATGTGGGGTGGGGGACATGCAGTCAGGGGGTACGGGCCGTGAGCTGTCCCAGGCAGAGACTGGGGAGTTCTATGGGATGAGGGCTGGAGGGAGGCAGCCCTCTGGGGGCCGTGTCAGGCTGCACGCAGCCATCTGCTGCAATGAATCTGGCCCCAGTGTGCTTCCCCAGTGGGGCAGGGGCTCGGGACCCTCCCCCTGTGCAGCTGCCAGGGCCTCACCCGCTCTTTCCTCCTGCAGGGCTTGGTGCCTTCCCGGGAGGTGCCTTCCCGGGAGCCCTGGTGCCTGGTGGAGCCGCAGGTGCTGCCGCAGCTTATAAAGCTGCCAAGGCTGGTAGGTGGTGCTGTTTGGGGCAGGACCCTCATCTCCCACCCTGGGGGGTCATTGGGGGGGGGCAGCTGGCAGGAGGCAGAGGTCCCAGAGCACTCTGCCTAGTGGCTGGGCTGGATCCCAGGGCTCTGTTAATCTCCCCGCCCCTCCCCCGCCCCGGCTCTGCAGGTGCTGGGCTGGGTGGTGTCGGAGGACTTGGTGGCGTGGCTGGTGTTGGTGGCTTGGGAGTGTCCACAGGTATGGTGGTCAAACCTGAGTTCCCCAGGGGGTAGGCTGCAGGCCCTGGGGGAGCCATGTGTGATGAGCTCACTTCCCTATCAGGTGCCGTGGTGCCTCAGCCGGGGGCGGGAGTCGGAGTTGGAGTCGGAGCTGGAGCGAAACCGGGGAAAGTGCCGGGTCAGTGCAGAATCCTCGGGGTGGGAGGGCAGAGGCCAGGAAGGGACAGAGCCTCCCTGGCCACTGCAGGTGGAGGGCATGGGGGTGGGGAGGACAGGCCCTGGGGCGGTAGCAGCGGGGGGTGGGGAATGGCCAGGCCCAAAACACCATACTTGCATCTGTGGAATGGGGACGGAAGGCTCTGGCCGCCACTCCCTTCTCCCAGGATCTTGGAGCAGAAAAAAAAAAAAAAAAAAAGGCACCCCTCCCCTGCCCCCAGAGACAGGCCCTGGGGCAGGCAGGTGGGGAAACCGAGGCACGGGACACAGAGTCGGGGTGGACAGCCCCCAGCTGGTCACGGCGTGGTCTCCCGCTCCTGCATCTGGTGCTCATTTGCGCCAAGCCCTTTAGGAAGTGACTTCAGGTTCAACAAAAGGCTGCTTGGGTCCACACAGCGGGGAGGGGACATCTGGAAGCCGTTAGCTGGAGGTGGGCTGGCCGGGGCCGTGTAAACAGGCTCCAGGAGACAGAGAGAGATCCACACGCGGGAAGGGCTGGCAGATGACTCGGGGAGGTGGGGGGCACTTGGTGGAGGGGAGCCGTGGCCACCCCACGCGTGTCCCTGGCTGCCCCCACGCTGTCTGCGCAGGAAGGGCTGGGCAGGGGTCCCTGGGGGCTGAGCCTCCTTCTTCCTCCGGCTGCAGGTGTGGGGCTCCCAGGTGTGTACCCAGGAGGAGTGCTTCCAGGCACAGGTGAGAAGGGGGACCTCCTGGAGCCCTGTCCCCACCCTCCCTGCACCAGAGGCCACCAGAGGCCACGGGCCCTGGCCAGCAGTGCTTCCCAAGGCCCCAGCACCCAGGCTAAATGGACATCAAGTCCCAGTCACTGCCGCCCCCCCCCCCCGACAAAGGGCAGCTTCCCCCAGCCCCACCCAAGCCCTGACCCCGGGCTCAAACCCTGAGGCGGGTCCCGGAGGACAGAATGAGTCCCCAGTGTGGCCAGCTGTTTCCCAAATGCTGTGAGTCACCGGGGAGCACCCTACCCCGCCCCAGCGAGCCTGCCCCACAGGGGACCCCTCAGAGCGACACCCTCCCCAGCCGCCCCACCCAACATATGACCTCCTGAATTCCCCAAAAAGCCCAGATTCAGGCCACGGTGCGAGATTCGCTGACAATTGGGCCCCATCTCCCGCTCCTGGCCGAGCCCCAGTGTGCAGGGCGGGGCGGGGTGGGGGTGGGGGGTGGCAGACAGGCTAGCCCGCCCTGCCTGTCCTGGACAATCAGTGCTGAGGGAAGTCAGCTGTGCGACTCCCCGCGGGCCCTCCAAGCCCTCACTGTCCGACTCCCCTCTGCTCCCCCCAGGAGCTCGCTTTCCTGGAGTTGGAGTGCTCCCTGGCGTTCCCACTGGCGCAGGAGTGAAGCCCAAGGCCCCAGGTATGCAGCGGGCTGGGCTGGGCTGGGAGCCCTCTGGGTGGGCACCTGGTGTGTCCCAGCCTTGGCCCTGCTGGCCACGATGGACAGACACTGACCAGAGACCCCAGAGCCCGTGTCAGGGCAGCGTGAGCCAGGGGCCCCAGGAGCACTGGCCCCTCCATGCCGCCATGTGCCACATCCTGAGCCCCTGGCGCCAGCTGGTTCTTTGTCCTTCCAGGTGCTGGAGGAGCTTTCGCCGGAATCCCAGGTGAGCACGACAGCCCCCACCCCCCTGTAGGTGGGAGGAGCAACAGGCAGGAGCCCTTGTCCCTTGTCTCCTACCTGCAAAACAGCCCACATGACCCAGAAAAGCTACCAGTCTCTGCCAAGGGCTGCCAGGACTGCAGGCCCACGGGGAGCCCAAGTCCCCTGGACAGAGAAAGCCCCGCAGCTTCCTGGCGGAAGTGGCCTGTTGTTGGGGAGTGCTCAGCTGACCCAAGACAGAGACTGGGAAGGCCTCCAGGCCGGATGCTTTGGGGGCAGGGAGCTCATCTGGTTGGAGCAGAAGCTGCAGGGTCAGGTGGAAGGCTTAAGAAGCGGGAGCTGCGGGCCCCAGGAGCTGGGCTCTGAGGCTGCTCCCTTGGTTCCCGCAGGGGTCGGGCCCTTTGGGGGCCAGCAGCCTGGAGTCCCTCTGGGGTACCCCATCAAGGCCCCCAAGCTGCCCGGTAAGTCAGGGGGGCTGCAGGAGGCACCCGGGGGGCAGGGTCAGTCAGAGGCGGGGCTTAGGACGGCACAAGTGGGGATCAGGAAACCTGGGTATGGAAGCCACATCTCGTCTTAGCCAAGGAGACCAGGGAGGTCAGGGGTCTACTCACACGCACGCGTGCACACACATGCGTACATGGACACAGTGCATACAAGCACACCTGAACGCATGTTCCCATGCACACGCACACACACGCACTCGCCCACAAAGATCCATAGCCCTGACGGGCAGGCATTGGTGCAGCTGGGAAGACATAACTCACTGGCAAGACTGTCTTGACATGACATCGCCCACTGGCACCCCCTCCCCTGCTCCCTCACTCAGCACAACCAGGTGCTGCCTGGCGGGGGAGGGGACAGGAGAAAGACACTCAGACCCCCGGCCCATGGGGTGGCCTGAACTGTTAGGGGACTGGTGTCCTCAGGCCCTCTGCTCTCCTGTGAGCTGCGCGCTCAGGCCCCTGGGAGGGGTCTCAGGCTCAGCACCTGTGGGGGGAGACCCAGCAAGGCACGGGGCGGCGATGAGGCACCCCTGAACCCCTGCCCTCTCTACAGGTGGCTACGGACTGCCCTACAGCACTGGGAAACTGCCCTACGGTGAGCCCAGCCCTCCTGGTGCCTGGCTTCCAGACCTTCCCTGCTTCAGGGGCCTGGTGGGGGCGCTGTGGCCCCAGCCCCCACCCCCCACCCCGCGCAGCCTGGTTCTCTCTCCAAACCCTCCCGCTTAACGCAAAGCCTTAGGCAAGCCCTGTTTCCTGCCCTGAGCTTCTGTGTCCATCTGCCCAGTGGGAGCAGCCCCCTGCTGTTTCTTTTCCCTCTTTGGGGGGGGGGGGGGGCAGGGGTGTGACAAGGAGAGACTCAGGGCAGCAGGGCAGGGGGAAGGCAGCAGCGGTCGGGCCTGCACGGATGACCCTGAGCGCCTCTGTCACAGGCTATGGCCCCGGCGGAGTGGCAGGTGCAGGGGGCAAGGCCGGCTACCCGACAGGCACAGGTAAGGAAAGCCTCACCCACCTGTGGCTAAAGAAGAGCCGATGACCCAGGCTCTAGAGATGGTCTGGATTACCTGGCTCCCTCCAGGAAGCAGGCAGGCTCCCCTCACCCAGACCCCGGTCTGACCCTGGAGAAGGATCTGGATCGGGAGTGGCTCTCTGCCTCCTGGGAAGCCCCTGCCCACAACTTACGGCAATGGGTGGCTCACTCGGGGCTGGCACGGGTGGGCTGGGGATGCAGGAGCACTGTTGTCTGAGTCTCCCCCCCCCCGCCTCTCCTTTCTCCCTCACCCCAGGAGTTGGCCCCCAGGCTGCAGCGGCAGCCAAAGCAGCTAAGTATGGTGAGTACCTCTGATCCCTCTGCCGTCCCCAACTTCTGCAGCCCTATTATGGCTGAGAACCTGCCTCGCAGACAGCTGACCCTCGTTTATGGAGCTTTTCAACACCATCCCTCCCTTCCTCCATCCATCCATCCATCCATGTACCATCCATCCATCCACCCACCCATGGATCCATCCCCTCCATCCATCTATCCATCGACCATCCACCCATGCATCCACCCATCTACCCATGTATCCATCCATCCATCCATGTATCCACCCATCCACCCATGGATCCATCCATCCATCCATGTATCCATCCATCCATCCATGGATCCATCCATCCATCCATGTATCCACCCATCCACCCACCCATCTATCCATCCATGTATCCATCATCCACCCATGGATCCACCCATCCACCCATATATCCATCCATCCACCCATGTATCCATCCATCCATCCATCCACCCATCTATCCATCCATGTATCCATCATCCACCCATGGATCCATCCATCCACCCATGTATCCACCCATCCACCCACCCATCCATCCATCCATGTATCCACCCATCCACCCATGGATCCATCCATCCATCCATGTATCCATCTGTCCATCCATGGATCCATCCATCCATCCATGTATCCACCCATCCACCCACCCATCTATCCATCCATGTATCCACCCATCCACCCATATATCCATCCATCCACCCATGGATCCATCCATCCATCCACCCACCCATCTATCCACCCATGTATCCGCCCCTCCCTCCATCCATCCTCTCCCTTCCTCCATCCTCCCATTCATCTCTCCCATCCCCCCACGGAACTTTTCCCATCCCTCTGTCCATCCACCCTTCATCCTCCCTCCCCCCTTCCCTCCATCCCGCTCCCACCTCCCTCCCTCCCTCCCTCCCTCCCTCCCTCCCTCCCTCCCTCCTCCAGCTCTGGGGTCCAGGGCAGGGAGAGCTCTGCTGGAGAAAGAGCTTCTTACAGCTTCTACCTGGGGAAAGCTACACAGAGACAGTGACATTTGCTTCAAGCCTCCAAATACAGGCGCAGCTGTGGTTAGGACAGGAAGGCGGAGCCTGGGTAGAGGCGTGCATTCCGCAGCGGTTACAGAGATAATTTTAGGTGGCATATATACGAGCGTTTTAAAAACTTAATAGTGATGTATCAATTTAATGTGTCCCATAAAAACTTGAAACTGCCTGGAGCCCACAGCCCCTTGGATAACACAACTGTGGGTGCAGCGTGATTGTCCCCTGTCTGTGCAGTGGGAGGAGTGGGCATCAGGGCAACCCCGCCTGGCTCGGGGTCAGCCCCAAGGGGGCCCTTCCTGCCTCCAGGATGGGACAGGCGGTGGCTGCAGCAGCACTGAGCCAGGCCCCTGTCCCCAGAGCCCCTCCCCCCGAGGCTCCCAGGCGCTGGGGCTCCTTGGCCAGGCCGGGACTGGAGGGGCTGGCTGGAATGCAGGAGTGGAGAGTGGGCAGCGCCAGGCGGCCAGGCGCTTGGATTACAGACTTGGCCGGGTCCTCGGAACACAGGGAGAGGAAGGCTTGAACATTCCTTCGGGGGCCCCTTTGGCCCGGCCAGCGGCCGCTTGTGGTTTCTCAATATGTGGCAGCGATCAGAACGGGATTTGTCCAAAAACATGCAAGTCATCTTTAATGAGCGTGTTGAAATGGACACTCTGGGGGCCAATCAGAGAACGGGGGCCAGGCGAGGGGGAGGGAGGCAGGAACAGGGTGCCTTCCCAAGCAGGCCCAGCCACAGACATCTGGGGATCCTTCCTCCATGGCTTTGTGCCAGCTAAAAAATGCCTACAGCCCAGTGGCCGTCCTGTCTGGCCTCAGGGGAGCCACATTGAGCACCCCCCCCCACCATGGCAGGTGCTGCAGGAGCCGGAGTCATCCCCGGTGTTGGCGTGGGCGGCGTTCCCGGTGCAGTTCCTGGGATTGGAGGCATTGCAGGTAGCGTCGGTCGGGGCAGGGCAGGGTAGGGGTCCCCCACCCCGAGGCCACGTGGCAAGGACCTCACTCGCCGTGCCTGCCTTTCCAGGGGCCGGAGCTCCCTCTGCTGCTGCTGCCGCTGCAGCCGCGAAGGCAGCCAAGTATGGTGAGTGCAAGCCCAGAGATCCGGGCCCTGGAGATGCCAGGCCGGTGAGGCTGGCTTCACTTTGCCCTTGTCCACCTGCAGAGCCTCCCTGTCTTGCTCCCCAAACACGTGCTCTTCCTGCCTCCTCGCCTTTGTCCATTCTGGCTGTCCCCTACCTGGGATGCCAGCGAGCTGGCTCAGCAGGTGGAGGGGGCACCTGCTCCTCCCACTCCCTCCCCCACCAAAGGCTGCCCCTATAAGGCGTCTGCTGCATCAGGGCCTGGAGGCCCAGCAGCAGAGTTCCGAGTGTGCTTTAGACAGAGCCACGGAGCCAGAGCCCCCAGCTCTCGGGACTCTCCGAGCCCCTCCCTGCTTCTGACCAGTTGCATCCATGCAAGGCCGCCTCGCCGGCAGTCCCGCCCAGCCGTCACTCCTCCTGAAGCACTGCAGGGTTCAGGCCAGGACATTCGGTCCTTCTCCTTCCACAGGGGCTGCTGGAGGCTTAGTGCCTGGCGGACCAGGAGCTGTAGTCCCGGGTGCCGGGATTCCAGGTGCTGGGATCCCAGGTGTTGGGGTCCCAGGCATTGCAGGTGTACCAGGTGAGCTGGGCAGTGTGTGTGTGTGTGTGTGTGTGTGTGTGTGTGAGAGAGAGAGAGAGAGAGAGAGAGAGAGAGAGAGAGAGACTTGCAAAGACCTCTGGATTCTCTGGCACCTCATCCCTCTGTCCATATCCCTGGCCATACACTCCCTTGGCCATAACAATCTCTGATTAGCTACAACCTGTGTCATCCTCTGCATTTGACCTCCTGGCTGCCAGTGGGCTCCTAGGGGCAGGAGCTCTGCCTTTGTCATCTCCATGTTTCTGAGCTCTTAGCTGAGTAGCCGCTCAGGGAGCGGTGAATGGATGGGTGGGTAGGCAGATGGACAGCTGGGTGGTCAGCTGAGTGTCCCTGTGGATGAGTAGGCAAATTTATGGATGAGGAAGTGGGTTGGTGTGTGGATGGGTAGATGGACAGATAAAAGGATGGATGGACACATAGATGGAGGGAGGGAGGGACAGACGGGTGTTAGATGATAAATAAAGTTAAGTGGGTAGATGAATGGGTAGGTGGAAAGGCAGATGGATAGGCCAGTGGGGAATTGGATAAGGGATTAGGTGGGGGGATAGGGGATGGATGGATGGGGGTGTGGATGGGCGAATGGATGGATGGAGGCATGGTTGAATGCATGAATAGATTGATGGATCAATGGATCTATGGACGGACAGACAGACACAGTGTTGGGAGAGCAGATGAACAGATGAATGAGTGGAAGAGTGCACTGGCAAATGCAAAGTAGATAGTTGGATAGATGGATAGATGGCTGGGTATATGGATGGATGGATGGGTAGTTGGAGAGATGGTTGGGCATATGGATAGATAGGTATGTGGATAGATGGTTGGATAGTTGGAGAGATTGTTGGATAGACTGATAGATGGCTGGGTAGTTGCATAGATGGTTGGATAGGGGCAGTAACCGTCTTTCATCTCTGTTTCTTAGCCCTTAGCTGAGTAGGTGCTCAGTAAATGATAAATAGATGGGTAGATGGGTGGATGGGTGGGCAGATGGACAGCTGGGTGGTCAGGTAAGTGTCCACGTGGAGCACTATGCAAATGGCTGGGTGAATGGGCAGAGGGGCAGATGGCTGGGTAAGTGGATGGGTAGCTGGGCAGAGTTAGATGGTTGGGTGGGTGTGTTGAGGTCCGGGGATGACAGACAAATAACAGACATAGAAGTGAGTCAGACAGTGGTTGGAGACAGGAGCCAGTGAGTGGAGGAGTGGACAACTCTGTGTCAGCTCCGTGGATAGAAGGAAGACAGGTGACAGACAGGTGGCTGGGCCGAGGGTCTCCCCTCCATCCCGCCCTGAGTATCCCCTGGGTCTCTGCAGGGGCTGTGTCACCAGCTGCAGCAGCTAAAGCAGCCGCCAAGGCGGCCAAGTATGGTGAGTGCCGCACTGTGAGCTCTGCCCACCCGTTCTGCCCTTCCCTTGTCTGCACTGACGGTGCCCGTGTGCAGCCACCCAGAGCAGGGGGCAGGGGTGGGGACCTGGAGGGCCCAAGGACTACGCCACCCCCACGAGGCCACAGGTCCCAGGATGGCCCCCGCCTGGCTGGGGATACGAGACTTGCCCCCAGGCTCCCCGTATCCAACAAGAGCTGGTCCCAGCATC